GAAAGAAAATAAAGAAAACAATCACGCTGCTAATTCCGCAGAAATTCAGCAATTTCCTCTATGCGCGCGCGACTCGGTGGTTTTCATTTTTATTCTCGGTTCTCCCTCGCGCGGAATTGAACGTTAAACGGATCGCGAGGATATTATGATAAATTACAGTGAAAACGCCGTTCTTGTCGATCGTCCCGACTGCCGGGGATGCCGGGTTATACCGCTTTTTGAGGGCGTTGAAGACGTTGGAGAGACCGGATATATCGAAGTTATTACATCAACACGGTAAAGTCGTTATCCGCGATATCTCGGGGAGATTTACGCGATAATAAAAGATATTCAGAAGGAGAACGTAAACGACAACGGGGACGAATTATTGCTGGCTGGGACGTAAGGCAAAGCCGTAATCTACCTGCAGGGAATGGAACGTCAATTTATCGCGTCTCTTACGAGAGGAATATTTTCCCCCACCGGATATATAATAGTTCGTCTCGCGCTAACGAATATTAGTTTCGAAACCTCTTTCGAGGTGTAATCGTTACGTTGTAACAATTGTAAAATGTATTATATATTCAATTTAATTGTATAATTATAAAGCATATTGTATTTCATATATCACATTATATCGTGTGATTATCAATGCTTTCATGTCTCTTTGGCAATTGTTTTTAAATAATTATTACTTCGCGAAGGTGGATAGCAAAGATTGAAAATTACGTACAAGGTGTCACGTCGTGAAAGTATTGAGGGTCAATGCAATATTTAGTCTCGTTGTTATTATACTGTCTTGGGATAAATATAATTATCCCAATTGTGTTCGACGTTTTAATGAAAAAAAAAGCAATTTATAATTCGTCATTCTTACAAATTTGTTTTATCCTGGAAACGATGTATAGTTTACAATATTCTCTCTGTAGTTTGATTATTCAACGATTCTGTTTTATTCTACTCGTGTTACAATGTACAGGAGAAGAGAGTTACGTATTAAAATCAAATTCCACTTATTACGATTGCAAAACATTAATGACCACCTCAGATAAGATAAGACAATGGAAAGATAATTTACACGAAAAATACAAAATATAATTACAATTTAATTTGTTGTCAATATAGCCTCATTAAAAATGTACAATTGTTACTTATATCAAATTCCTACACCACAATTTAATTGATTGTTAATGACGTTAGTTTCTAACGCAAATCTAACGTCGAATCGTCACTCTCTACGAAATTCACAACCAAACAATTCCCTGTTTACCACCACGCACACACGGGAGCGAAGAAGGTTTGCTAGTCGTTTCAGTAGCAACAGTCGATATTAATCAGACCGTAGTTCAAATACACGTAGCAGGCGAATTTTTCAAAGCACATCTTCGTTATTGTTTGCCCGATACTTGAGGGACGTTATTAAATTTGTTAACAAAGTACCATTGACCGATGTTTGCAGGTCTGTTTCATCGGGTTGTGCTATCGAGTGGCTCGGTGTTAAGCCCGTGGGCGTCTGTTCACGATCCGAATGACCTACGGTTGAAAGTAGCTGAGCAAATAGGATGTTCCACCGAGAACGACGAAGATATTGCCGACTGTCTACGCGGCGTTCCTCTTCGTGAGCTCATGGCCGTTGAACTGCCGGAAATCCGGTAAGATAGTAACTCTTTACGATCTTGATTCGAGGCTCATCTAACATCCATGAATGAATAGCTCGCCGTAAATTTCATGTAAAAGTTCCTCGTGGATTACCAGCAAACCGGGATGAAGAACTTCGAGTCATCGATATTATTGCCTTCTGCGCCAAAGAGTCCAATAAAGTTCCGCTGGATTTCCACCCTTTATAAAAAAAAAGAAAAAAAACTCATATTTCGTTACGCTTGACGTGGTTGAAGATCGTCGCCTAGAAAATGATAAAATGGTGTGACAAATGGAGTTTTGTATATTTTCAATCGAGCTCATAACTTGATTTATTAGCAGAACGTTTGTGCTCCACAAATTAATTGCGATGTAATATAATTATGTAGTTGTTATAATAAATCACGTCGTGTCTTTGCTAACGCGAATGTGCGTTTCGCACGGGCTTGGGCAAATTTTCTTTTAAATAAAGACGAAGGATAACGAATCATTTCCGAGTCATTAATTTATTTATCACTTTGTTCGATAAGTAAATCTGATCTTGGAGCCACAACGAATAAATCGTTCGGATTGATTCGTTGGAAATAACGAGTTATCTAGAAGGTGAAATTGTAACTCAACTAACCTCGTCGATATACGTGAGACGATGTGTAATTATCTTTCCGAAATATATCGTATCCGAATAACGCCCAAGCCTGTCTCAAACTTCGTGCAAAAACAAGAATCCGTCGTCATCCGCTCAAAGTCCTCAAAATCCCTTTGCAATCGATCACAAAGAAGGGGGGGGAGGGGGTTAGTCGCCCGGAATTTATCCCCTCGGATCAAAGTTCTAGTGGAAGATGCTAATCGGTGTAACACGGTTAATTCACGATTCCCTCGCTATTGTTGGCATCCTGGTCGTCTTATTGATCGACACGGAGCAACACCATGCCAATTTATTACCCTGACGAGCAGCGAGCCAAGATAATTCGCCTCGTTTTCCGCTTCAGGTTCGTGCCACGGATCGGGCCGGGCTTACCAGTGGACCAAAACAATCCTGATCCAGGGTTGGATATGGAAAGGGTCAGCGATACGTTCATCAAAGTACCTTTGATCCTTGGTGTTTCCACCACGGAATCGAATCTAGATTTTAACGCAAACGACATTCAATACGGATTCGAGGAGGATCATCGGAATCGGATTTTACGGACGTTCATTAGGAACGCTTATGTATACCATTTGAACGAGATATTCTCGGCGGTGAGGAACGAATACACGGACTGGGACAAGCCTATCCTTCATCCTATCATTATAAGGGATTCGACGATGGAAGCATTGAGTGACGGTCACACCGTCGCACCTTTAATGAGGATCGCCTATTATCACGCAAGAAGGGGAGCCAAAACGTACTTCTATCACTTTAGCCATCAGACAAGGGACAACGGCCTTTTGCAGGTTTGTGGAGAATTTTCTTTTTTTTTTTTGTACGTTGTACAACCGTTGTACAGAGAAAATTTCAATTTTCAAAATTGGCCCATGAAAAAGAAAATTTATTCGAACGTTTTTAGAAACATTTTTGAATTTTCAACGAGAGTACATTGTTACTTACAAATATATATATATATATATATATATATATATATATATATATAT